TCTCAACTCAAAAAGCCCAAGAAACCAAGCTCCCAAGTGTGGATCTGCAGCGCTTAAAAACGGATTTTGCAATTGAATTTTGGAGTAAGTACGGCTCATACTCTCTACCGGAAATCTACAACATGGATGAAACGGCCATCCACTTCGACATGCCGCCAGCAAGAACCTGGGCAATTAAAGGGCGAAAAGGATCAGCTAAAATCCAAAATCTGACAAAACACTGCGGACGCATGACGGCTGTCTTGACAGTTCGCGCTGATGGTAAGTTTTTTTTGTCTTTCCTTGCGCTAATTATAAGTTTTATATATATATTTTACTTTTGTTTACTAAAAATGTTTGATTTTAGGAAAAAAAACTTCCGATTCTCTTCATACTGCGCGGCAAACGTGGCGGACTTATTGATTCCAACGAGTTAAGCACGCTGCCAAGTGGTCACTTTTACACAGTACAAGAGTTTGGATGGATGGATACAGTCAGCTGGGAGTTTTATGTAGAAAACATTATAAAATATGAAATTGACTCCCCTGCCCTCCTCTTAGCGGACAATTTTTATTGTCACGTTTCAGAGGAGGGTATGCGTGTGGTTGCCGAACAGGCATGCGCTACAGTGGTCCCATTACCCGCTAAAGCTACATCGGTTTGTCAACCGCTTGATGTAGGGGTAATGGGACCTCTAAAGTCTCGAATTCGAGGTAAATTACTACCCAAAAAAGGCCTTACGGCTGCTGAAAAACGTCTTCGAGCCATACAAGCTACAATTGCAGCTTGGGAAAGTTTTCCCAACGAGCACGTAATTCGTAGCTTTAAATCAGCAATTCCGTGCTATGAGTCGACAACGGTTTAATAAACAAGCGTAGCTGAATTTTTGATTCCATACTCTCAGTTTATTCATCCAATCAAAATATGTTTTGCTAGTCGTCCGAGTTTTTGTGTCGCAGATTTTACTATCGGAATTGTGTTTATCAACTCCGGCTTTTTATGTCGTTGTCTGTAGTACCGGTACTACCGGGCCACAGAAACTAGTAGCGCTTTTTCGAGCCGGTAGTAGTAGTAGTGATATTAGTATACTATCGAAACTACTATTTACGTCTCCGTCGTCTTGCGTGAGTCCTGCTTCATCTTTAAGATCTCGTTCCTGTTGTGCCGAAGTAGATGCTGTCTTTCGGCGCGTCTGCTGTCTGTCCTGGTCCTGAGTAGACCCATTATTATGCCTCCCGTTGAAAAAAGTCTCTCTTAAAACGCCGACGAAGAAAAATTTACCGAGGTGGATGCGCGCTAACAGAGCAATGGAGGGAAATGAATTTCACCCTCATCGCGGAACCACTTCAGCACGTCAATGTGCTTATACAAGCCCAGTAGAGAGTAATGCATACCGTCTTGCGCGTCAATCGAAATGTCCTTCGACAATTCTTCGAACTTGAAATCGGGATTCTGGCGCTAGGCGATCTCCAGCCACTCCGGTTCTAAATCGAGCCATTCTCGCACGACAGCATCCGCTCTGGTATTGATGTCGGTCTCCTTGACCTCATATCTCGTCTTGGTGGCTCGAATAGGTGCCCCTAGTAGCAGCTCGTCCGCGTCATCCAACCCGTTGACGCGGGCGAGGAAAAGGGTGATGAATCTTGGCTCAAGATGCTACTTTGGGACAACGATTGCTGTGACAGCGAGATTTTTCCCTGTTTGTTCATCTGAGCGAAAACCTTTCGGTGTTCTGCACGAAAGAAATCAACACCGTTCTTGTAAATGACCTTCTCCTCCTTGCGTAAAATGCTACCCACGGCAGCAATCTGCTTAGCACTATACTTTGTTCTAGGATCAAGCAGAGCACACGCCATCGATTCTGTGGATACCTTGGAAAACGGGCCTGTAATTGCAGCAAAGCTCTTCGCAAACACGTCTTACCAGCCTCCAAAAACCGATCACGAGTCCTCACAATACGGCGATGACTTGCCTCGTTTGCATCTTTGGCCCCGGGTACTTCGATGGCCATGGTTTCAAACTTAAAGGACTTCAACTTGTTTTCCGCGAGTCGCCTGAATACGACCATGTATGAGGACACCAGGTTCTCACTCCGCGTCTCTACCAGCGTACGCCTCATTTCGACAGCTAGCATCCAGTCCTTAGCGGTAAGCGCTGCCCAGACGCTAGAGCTATCTTTTGTGGACTGAAAATATGCGTCGAAAGCGGAATAGTTGACCACTGATCTGCGAATCAGTTTGCACGTATACGCGACTCACACGTCTTGATCAGTGATTGGCTCCAGTTCTGGGTAGATAAGTGCCTCCTGGATCTTCTTCAGAGTGACTCGCTGTTTGGATGATTTGAAGTGGTTGTTTAAATTTTGGAGCTTCCAAATTACGTCGCCTCCTTCACTCAATGCACCTCCAGGAGTCACTGTAGTTACTATTTTGTCCCAAGAGCTGGTCTTCTCATTCCGCACAGTGTTTGTCTGAATATTGTCCTTCAGTCCAATTCCCTATCCAATACAGAGGCTCAAGAGATGCATAGAGCAGCTTTCCTGTTCCGTGTTGATGTGATCCGCAACGTTCTTTGCCGAAGGAGTCGTGTCTGACATCGTAAAGCGAGTCATACATCTAATATCAAGATTGAATGTTGCCTTAAACGCGCTCTCAATGACTTTAGCAACCCCCAAAGCGTTGTGACGTTCTTGACACAAGCCAGTACAGCGATGAACCGGAATCGCCATAGACTATCAATAAAGGCTACGGACGCACCAACATTACTGTCCTTACTGCAACTTGTCCAAATATCATGAATCAGATTGAGGAACTTGAGTCGGCAAGCTTTCTCAAGCTCTGCAGATAGTAGCACACTCAATAGAACGCCAAATAGCTGGAACTGACCGTTCAGAAGACGATCGTGTCGATCACGTCCCAAAATTTGAAAGGCGGGGCTCCCTGTCGCTGTGCGCATGACGTCGTGGAAATCCGAGGATGCACACACGGTGTATGGCAGCCCCTGCGAGATAAAAAACTTAGAAATCAAGACGTTCAGGGTCTTTTCACTCGCTCTGAAGAATCGCTTTGACGTCGTGCTTACTTTCTCCAACTCTGTATCATCGAAAGTAGTAGTGCCACCAGATAGAGTAGTAGTCTCATGCTCAGGATCACGCGATAGGTCGAGGACAGCTTGTGTATCCTATTCAGCAGCCAATACATCCTTCTTTGACTTCTCAGCCGCGGTCTGCTCCGCCAAAATCGCCAGGGGGTGATTCGCATGTTTCAGCTTGATGTGGTCCTTCGCGTTACTAGCATGTTTCGTATTACGCAAAGCCTCTTCCCAGCTGTATCGGTTTGTTTTAGTCCGCGACTGGAGTGAGCTGCCTGCAGACACACCAGACAGAACACTTCTGGTAACTGTGTTGTTCGCAAGAAACTTCCACGGGGTTTTCCTCTCTTCCTGTTAAGGGGGTCTTTCCGTGTGTTGAATTAAAAGGCCACACATCGTCGGTAGTTCCTGTCCTTCTGGAATGTTTGACAGAAAGCGGTACACCAAGGTCTGACACTGGGAAAGCTGGTTCTGTCTCGGGAGCTACAGCAATCGCACCGGTGTTTTTTATCCTCATCGGTTGAGTCTTCGTTGTGCCAGTCTTCAACGCTGATGAAGAATCATTCTTGGTTTTACCAGTAAAAGTCGAGCTGCTAGCTACTTTGCGCCTCTTTACAGAGCGCTCAGCACCAACACCGACTTGGGGAATAGTCAACGGGACAAAATCGGAGTCAGATCCAGCCCAAATTTTGCTTAACTTCTCCGCCGAGCGACGTCGCTTCCCAGCGGTCGAGGCTGCGGGAGGTAGCTCGACCGGCGGATGCACAACATGCACGCAGGACTGACTACAAAACCTGCAGATAAGTCATAGTTAATGCCCATCCGTTATTAAGCAAAACATAGCTGCTTGTAATACCTCTCGTTCAACGCCGAATCACAGCCTTCACAGACACCTATAGCTCACAGGTGATGGATATGCGTACCACACACAGTGCACGGGTCCGTTTTAAACTCGTCGCTTTCCTGGCAACCCTCGACATAGCATCCCATTCTTAGCTGCGGAGTGGGTAGTTTGAATCACTGGCTATTCTCTTTAGAAATGGCGATCTTATCCGAGCCACACACACGAAAATTGCCAAATCAGGACTGGCCTTGCCCGATGAGGGTTCTACTGAAAATAGTAATGCTGTTCCTTTACCAGATTCATAAGCCTTTACAAGTTTCTTGTAATTCTCAGGATGGAAATAATGCGAATGGCCTTTGTTCAGCTGGGAGTGGTTCAAACGAACGGGTTTTGCCATGTAGGACTTTAACAGCCTGCTCATGACACAAATCGACTGCAAATTCATTGTACATCTAAATTGAATATCTGTATTACTTATATACAGAGCGAGAGACAAAAATGTCAAAGGTTAATAAATCCAAAACTCTCAGTCTGGATGAAATTAAAAATATTATCACTCGTTCTCTTAGAATGGGAAGCGAGTACGATAACTTGTCCGACACTACGGTAAATCTATACACCAGACAACTGATTGAGCTTTACAAGGCCGGTGTTGTGATATAGCAATGGTCCTCTAATGAGTTCATTTCCAATATTCACAATCCAAACAAATACGACGATGCTTCTTTTCAAAAGACGTTCAAGGTTCAAAACTCAAGTATCATTGCGCTTCTGATGAGCATCTATACAAGCAAAGAGAGTCTCATTTTAGCACTGAATGCCATGTGCAAACTGATCAAGAACAGATTTCGTGATGCATTTGCATACTATTGTAGCAAGTCTCCTGTCGCCTGCTTGCCGGCGGGAAGTATGCTTCTTGTGCCTGCTGCGCTGTTTCGCCAAGGTCTGTGCTCCTGGTCTTGTCCGTTACGTAACCCAACACCGTACTAGCCGCCTAAGCAGCCGGACTCACGTCCTGTTTATTAATACACTCGTACTTATGGAGACTCTTCGTTCTCTCCTCGTACTCGTTCTCGTTCTCGTTTTAATGTCACTACTGTCCGTACAATTCGTCAACAAGCATGCCCCAGGTCCCGGGGCGAGCACCGTGCCGCACTCGCACCCCTCAAAACGTTCCGTAATTTTCGTTGTTTTCTGCTCTGACCGCCGTAAGCCTCCACCTGTCGCCGCCTCGTCCGTCCAGTTGCAACACCCGTACACACACCACAGCAACGCGTTCGTCACTGCCTTCGTACTCGTCTCGGTGCTCGTCAAGTCACTCAACTCGTCCTTCTCGGCCTACTCGCCCTTTTCGTCACACAGACCACTCGTTGTCGACTTTAACTCGCTCCGTTTGCTCTCACTTGCTCGCTTCGTGGCAAGTTTGGCACTGAGCGATTGCGCTAGCCGCCCTGGTTCCCTCGTTACGCTCTCGGAACACTGGATCGCCCTTCGTGGGTTCACCGTCTTTGTCCCTTCCTGGCGACTGCTCAGCTAAAGATCTCGAATGAGCGGTGCACGTCGCTCGGCACGGCTCCGTAGGTCGGGGTCGGTTACTGACGCCTGCTGCCTATCCGATCTTCGCTGTTCTTCCTCGCCGTCCCAACTTCCGTCTGGAGTGCCGTGTTGCTCTTTAGTGACACGCCACTGTTCGCCACCGCTCCACTCAGGGTGGTTGGGAAATCACCCTGTTACACTATAATACGATTCGAAAAGAACTGAGCAAGCAAAACAAAGCTGAAAATCTGGACAACGAACTAACTCCAGAGGAGAAGAAGAAGTATATCAGCTATGAAGAGCTAATGTCCGTCCCAGGTAAAGCTGCAAAGGTGCTCACCGACACGTATGGTAAAGTATTGGTGTCGAATTTTCTGTACTAATCCTGTCCTAACTGTCCTACAAAATCCTAAAATACGTCGTAATTTACTGGAATAGATTGCAAGATGTATCCTAAAAAGGTTCTACATCCGGACAGACATTGCAATCCTAATGCTGTCTAAAATTAAAAACCGGTATTTTTGTCGGAAATTTAGGACATATCCTAAAACCTATTTTGAGTCGAACTTGTAATTGAGGTTTTTAAAAGTTAACGGGAACCAATCATGCAGAAACACATAGCTGTTTTAATTTTTATTGTCACTTGACAACTTTGTCCATGGAGCACAAGAACTACCGCTTCTGCAAGAAGCGCATCGTCCCGGAGACAGGAACAACCTATGTCAGCTGCGTGAAGTTCCGGACTGGGTGT